TGATGGTTATTTGAGGCAAAAAGAGTTTATAGTTATAGATCTGAATAAATCCAGATCTAAGTCTTTCTCACTTCGATGAGACACCCCTCTTGATCTAGAAAAAGAGATCGAGAAATTAAAAGATAATAAACATTCTATCTAACCAGATCGAGATTTCAGAAATGCAATGAATTTTTAATCTTTTATACTATCTGTGCTTATATAAAGAACCAAATATGAATCACTTTCTTATTCTTCTGGAGTTACTTGAAAATATATTTAGTTTCTTGGCTAAGGATAAAGCACTCTATATAGCATTATTTGTCAATAGACTTTGGTATCACTGCAGTGCCTCAATTCTATGGAGATATATTAAGTTTTCTATAGAAGGTTATCAGCAGAATCAGTATAGTAAAGATATATCTGGACCTCTTTATTGGCAATTAAGAAAGTTTAAAAGAGTTATGTGTAGAAAGACAAAACCTTCATATTGCTCAAAGATGGTATATCTCAAATTAGTGGATTTAAAAATCTCAGATAAATTACTTAGTACAATTCTGCATTTATGTCCAGATATAAACTTTCTCATCCTCGATCAAAGTCATAGTTTTAGTAATATACCAATTATAGAAATTGCAAAATATTGTTTGAAGCTACTACATCTGAGTCTTGATGCATGTATAGCTATTACTGATAGATGTGTTAGTGAAATAGCACAATCTTGTTCAAATTTAAAATACATAAGTCTCGTTTCTTTGTATAGAAATAGTAACATTTTCAGTATATCTGTGATTAAAATAGTATGATCTTGTTTTAATCTAGTATATTTAAATCTCAATGGACAACCTTCTATTAATGATGAATCAATTTGTGCAATTGCACACTCATATGTAAATCTTCAACACCTGAATTTGTTGTTCAATAAAATAATTATAGATAAAGCTATATGCATAATTGTAATTGGCTATCCAGATATGCGAAATTATTTTCTCGAAAGCTGTGAACAGATTACTAACAAATCAATCAAAAAAATTGCAGATTTAAATAAAAACCTACAAAATATTAGTCTTATTTCATATTATAAAATTACAGATGATACTGTATGTAATATAGTTCATTCATGTTCAGATATTCAGAATCTTAGTTTTCAATATATTTATATCACTGATAAAACAATATATG